CAAATGCAAGTCTAAAAGAAGAACTGTGCTGGTTAGCATTACTCCCCAAATACATATTGGCTATATTACAGGGCTTCATTTTAAGAAATCTTGCCTATTTAATTTTTTAATTTCCTAGCAGAATCTTCTGCAAAGAAGACTTAATACAAATATTAAAATAAAATATATGAACAGATTTTAGATTGGCAGTTAATACTGAATTATATATAAAAAAAACCATCCTATGTGGCATTTAGAGATAAATAAAAATCTTTTATGGAAGTGAAAATAATTATAATCCAAACAGTTATTTCTGGGATCCACCTGGAGGAAAAGACGGGAAAGAATTCACGGCCGGCCTTCCTGCTCCTAATCTCTTCTTCCCCTCTCACAACCTACAACTGATGAGAAAAGAGAGATGCCTTCCCTGAAATCAAGCCCACCATATCCTAATTCCTAACTATATCAAACAAGCCATGCCATAGAAAGGAGAAGTGAGAGTGTGGGGCAGAGGGAATGGTTGACACAAAGACAAAGATGACAGGAAAAATACAAAGAAAAATACAGAAATAACAGCTGGTGGGAGAAAAATGGGGGACATATTCAGAACGAAACCCTGTTATTTATTTAATCTTTCCCAATTCTTAGCATCAAAGGAGTAAGAATTTTGATATAATTCTGTGACTGAATGAATATTGCAGATTTGGGTATGAAGTTAATAGCCAGAGAACTGTCTGGGGTACTGAACTCTCAGATCAGGTAATAAGAAGTGAATATAAGGAACAATCTTCATGGCCCCTGGTTGGCTCAGCTGGAGTGTGTGACTACTGATCTCAGGGTCCTGAGTTCAAGCCCCATGTTGGGTGCAGACATTACTTAAATAAACACTTAAATCTTCAACCTGGTCCATCCCTCTCTCTAAAAAATCAAGGCTTATCAAGGATCTTCCACTTCCAAAATAGCAAGAAAGGAAGGAATAAAATGTTAGCTAAAAAAAAAAAAAAAGAAAAATGTGAGTAGCATGTAGTTCTGTATTAATACATGGTTTGAAACTGGCTGTGTATAATAAACTGTGCGTAGAAGCACTTAATGGAACTTTGTATAACACTGTTTATAGGTGTATTTTGAATATTATTAAAGTTATCAGATAAGACTGCTACATTAGTTTCAGAATCCTTAACTATACAGAAGGAAGGCTGTTCGTGAACCATAAACCTTGATGCTTAATGTACCATTGCTGTCCTTTCTAACAGGTAACTTTTGTATGGCCTTTAATACCTCTAAAATTAATATAGAATTGTAACTTACCTAAGTAATAAAAACTGTTTATTTATTTATTTTAAAAAGCAGGCTGCATGCCCAACATAGGGCCTGAACTCATTACACTGAAATCTAGAGCTGCATGCTCTACCAACTGAGCCAGCCAGGCCACCCTAAGCAACAAAACCGCTGGTGAAAGTTTTCAGCTTTCTGTAACGAGGGTTGGTCACAATATCACAGACTCCATTTCTTCATCTGCAAAATCAGAACAGAACCAAATAACCTCTAAGCTTCTTTTGGATCTAAAATTCTAAATATCCATGGTATCTTTCTGGTATGCAAACTTGGTGGTAAAGACTTATGCAATTCAAAATAGTTTCAAATTATCCTTCATTTCCAAAATATAGGTATTTCTCTAATCTACTGTTACTATTCTTTCTAATCCAATATTAATACAAAGTATTCATTCGTCCACTGACCAATTATTTGCATTAAATGTGGTGCTGGCAGGGTACAAAAGTAAACAAAAAGAGACATGGTACCTGTATTCATGAAGCTTACACAAAGTTGGGGAGACAAACCAATACACATACACATGAATGTAATAGATCTGTAAAAAACTATATGAAGGAGCTAAAAGAACACGTAATGGGGAATCTAAGAGACTTCCCTTAAGAATAACAGATGAGTGACAAAAGATGAACACATGATTGACAAAGGAAGTTGAGAAGAGTACATATATGGGTTATGCAACGTGGAATCTGTCTAGGTAGAAATGAACATGGCATGTTCAAGGAACTGACTGAAGGCCAGTGTGATTGGAAGTGTAAAAATATTTAAAATACTTCCTTGAAAACTGAAATTAAAACCTGTAATATATACCCAAAAGTATATCTTAGCTATTCCAAAAACATACTCTAAGAACCATTTTCAAGAAAGCTTCAAAACTTTCTTGAAAAAGCTTACAATTGCTTCTAGTGTTAAAAAAAAAAAAATGCTGCGACAACGTGGATGGAACTAGAGGGTATCATGCTTAGCGAAATAAGTCAAGCGGAGAAAGACAACTATCATATGATCTCCCTGATATGAGGGAGAGGAGATGCAACATGGGGGGTTAATGGGGTAGGAGAAGAGTAAATGAAACAAGTTGGGATTGGGAGGGAGACAAACCATAAGTGACTCTTAATCTCACAAAACAAACTGAGGGTGCTGGGGGGAGGGGGGTTGGGAGGGGGGGTGGGGTTATGGACATTGGGTAGGGTATGTGCTATGGTGAGTGCTGTGAAGTGTGTAAACCTGGAGATTCACAGACTTGTACCCCTGGGGGGAAAAAAATATGTTTATAAAAAATAAAATTAAAAAAAAAAATGCTGTCCTATTATCTCCTTGCAAAAGATCAAATTAACTCATTGATTCCCTTCTTTTTTTAATTGCAAAAAAAAAAAATCACAACTTCTTAGTTATACTTAGATCCTTTTAAGAAAAAATCAGCTATAAGAATGAAAATAAATTAGATGCTACTGCCCTGGTTCTGCCACTAAGCCACTCTATGACTGATCTCGATACATGTTACTTGGCCACTCTAGCCCTAAATTTTCTTATCTGTGAAATACAGGGAGTTCTAGAATTTCTTTTAAGATCCTTCTAACTCTAAAATTATGGTTTTGTTAAAAATATTTGTCCCATTCTTGAAAACTGAAGAGAATGGATCAAACATCTCTGAATTCCACTAAGATTTTACCTTTCTTTAAGCTCAGTTTGCATTTATACAGCATTTGCACATTGTTGCTATGCTATAATAAAAAAAACTACTGTCTTTATAAAATTTGCCCATGATTAAGGGTTTAATAAACACAAAAATTATCAAAACTGGTTAAACACTATTAAAAATCTATGCTTCCACTGAGACAGTACTACTTTAACCAGGGATCCCTAGAAAGCACAATTCAAAACAGACTTAGAAAAACAAGGGGAAAACAAAATCGTAAGATTCTTAAGAAAAGCAAAATTTTAGCAGGACATTCAAACTGGTTAAAATGCATGTCAATTTTAACTTCCAGAAGAACTCATAACAAATGATATCCTAATCCAAAGCTCATTCTAGACTTGGTTACATGTCCATTTATATAACAGCATTTCTGATACTCTATCCTCAAGTAGAAAAAGTACATATGGATTATCCATCACCAGAATTCAAGATTTCGTTATTTTTTATATGAAAATAAAAATTAAAATATATAAATTTACTTAATAGCTTTGCATTTCATAATCTTTCAGCAACACCATTCAATATAACCTTAAAAAGCATCAATTAAGGACCTCACCTCATGTATAATCTCTAGTATCAAATCTATTTTAATGGAAGGTACTGTGTCCTTTTCCTTCAAAAGAGTCAAGAAATTGCAGAATCTAATTAGATTTTAAGAACTAAGGTAAAGGAATACTTTAAATATTCATTCAGCACTCACAACATCATAAACATTTAGTAGGCACTATATACTAAGCTCTAGAACAAAGGGGCAAGATCATTCCCTAAAAATACATTTCATCAAGTTGCCCAAGGTAGAAACACTGTCATCATTGTTTCTTCCCTCACCACCCACCAAGTCTGATTGATTCTAACTCTGAAACATTTCTTGGATACTTCCCTACCTCTCTTCCCACTACCATAGCCCAGCTTCAGGATTTCAACACCTTTCACCAACACTTTTACCAGTTTCCTATCTGGATCTCCTGCCTCAAGTCTTTCCCTCTCCTTGCTCCATTTTAGCCCTAGTTGTGACAACCAAAAAATTTCCAGCACTGACAAAGCTCCCTGGGGGTCAAATATGCCCTGGCTGAGGGACATCTGGATGGCTCAGTTGCTTTAGTCCTGGACTCGATCTCAGCTTAGGTCTTGATCTCACAGCCCTGAGTTCAAGCCCTGCACTGAGCTCCACACTGGCCGTGGAGCCTACCTGAACGAAAGAAAGTGGAAGGAAGGAAGAGGGAAGAAAGGAAAGAAAGAAAATACCCTGTTTGAGAACCATTGCATCAAGTTGATCCTTTAATAAGAACAGCACTATCTCATAAGGCTGTGGGCACAATCTATGTCCATGCAACAGAAAGAAGCAAAAAGCTGACCAACATAAGGCTGGAACTTACAACGTCGATCTTAAGATCATCACCATGGCTTAAATAAGCTAACTTAAAAAGAGCTAAAATATTCTCCTGAAAACCCCTTTGAACATGTGGACCTAAATCATCACCTTACTTCAAGTCTGAATTTTGAAGTCTGTACATTCTGTCAAAGTTTAACAATACTAAATTCATATTTAAGCTCCTGGATATTAGAAAATTGTGACCATTTACTGAAATGCTTTGGTGAGAAATCGATCTCCTCAGAAATGAACGGAAATTGGAACCCTCCTAGGCAAGCTATTGCCTCCATTTAAGGTTGTAAGCTACTCTGAACAGTATTCTCATAAATATTTTTCTAGAAAAAAGTTATTTAAAAAGCACTTAAATTCTCATGTTTGAAAAAACACGCACATTCCCTTTAATTTCCCATAATGATTATATGCCTACAGAACTATTCAAAGATACAGCCAAGAAAGAACAATACCTTTCAGAGAAGAGTAAAAAAACGGGATGATAAAATACCTAAAAAAGCCCGGGTAGGTGAAACTGTAAAGGCCAGGCCTAGCAGTGCAGTAATGCCACAGGACAGAGCACCCCTCCCACAAACGTCTGAAGTGTGAACACTGTGTCCAGTCGCTTACCTTCAGTCGCTTGATCATTTCATCCGTGGTGATCTTGTCGGTGATCTCCTTTACCCCCGGAGGGTAAGCGATCTTCCCGTCTGCACTCACGACGCCACAGAGGGCAGTGGCAGGCTTGGGCTGCGCGGTGAAGTCCATCCTGGGGGACAACTTTTCTTTCACAGTCCTCTACCGGCCTCTATCGGTCAGAAAACAAAAGTTCAGCGAGAAAAGGGAGACTTTGTAACCTCTTTTTTCATTTCAAAAATCTCTAATCTGAAAAGGGCCCTTTCTCCGGGAAGGCCGGGGACTCGGCGGCGGCCCCGCCGCTCGCCCCTCCCCGGGCCTTGGACCCTGGCGGCCGCCCCGCCACCCCCACTCCCGCGGGCCCCGCCAGCCCCGCCAGCCCCAGGCCCACGGGGCTCTCCGGCCCCAGCGGCCGCGGGAAGCGCCGAGCAAGCGCCAGGAGTTTCCCATTCCGCCTTTCACAATGAAATCCACCCCCAAGCACCGAGGTCCGAAGTTTGGCAGCATCCCGAGCCCGGCGAGGCCCTCACGGCCCCCGCTCGGTCGGAGAGAAGCTCCGAGTCCCCGCCCGGCCAGTCCCCTCAGGGAAAGAAGACGCGAGGCCTATAGGGCTCGGCTTAGGCCGCAAAACTAGGGACCCAACCCGACCCACATGCAACGGTGGCTCCGGGAAACGAACGCCTTTGCCGGGCCGAGCTTCGGGACCCCCGGCGTCCCCGCCACGCTCCCGCCCCTCCCCTGTCCCGCGGGAGGGCAAAACAAGCCGCCCTCCACCCCAAACCCCACGCCAGGAAGCGGCTGACGCGGCTCCGCACTTCACATTTTGTTCCTTCAACTTCGGCGGAGGGGCCCCGGCGGCTTCTCTCGCCCCCGACTGCTCGGCGCGGTCCGGCGCTGCCGAGGCCTTACTGGCCCCCCCGGGCACCCCCGCCGGGCCTCGGTCCCGGCCCCCCCCCCCCCCCGCCCGCTCTGGTCTCCCCTTCCGTCCCCTCCCTCCACCAACCGAGGGCGGGAGCCGAGCCGCCGCCGCCTTTACCTCCTCCTCCTCATGCGGGCGGAAGGTGCATCGAGCTCCCGGGCCTCTGTCAGGTGGTTGCGCCGCCGCCCCTCGTCGGGCTGCACACAAAGCGGCTCCGCGGGTCCCGCCGCCGCCGCCGCCCGCCCCGGAGCGGCGCTGGGGCTGGCGGTGCCGAGGAGGAGCAGCCGCCGCGGGGGGAGACGCGGGGCGAGTGTGTGCTGGGCGGGGAGACACTGCCGCTCTCCGTCTGGCCGAGGAAGAGCAGCCTCCGAGAAGGCTCCTCCGGGAGCGTGTGCGCCCGTGTCCGCCCGAGACCCCCGCGGCCCGCCCGCCCGCACCTCGCGCCGGCCGGGTCCGCCGACCGGGACCCGGACGCCCCTCGCAGCGGCGCGCTCCCGGCCGTCCGTGCCCCCGGGAGCCGGCCCTTCGCGCACACCCCAGCCGGTCACGCGAGCGGCGCGAGAGCACGCGAGAGCAGGGCGCGCGCCTCGCTCCCTCCCCTTCCTCCGCCGGCCGAGCCTCCGCCTCCCTCGGGCCTGAGGCGGCCGCGCGCGGGGCGGACAGCGCCGCCACCCGGTTGGCGCCAAGACTTGTCGCGCCGAGCGCCTCTGGGAGGATTGGACCCAAAGGGCAGGCAGAGGAGGGGCCCCTGTGGCGGGAAGAGAACCGGGTCCCAGAGGCCCCTGTGAGGGCAGGCAAGACGAGATGAGCTTTACGTTACGCCGCGAAGATGAGTTCATGACTTTCGGGGGTCATCCTGAGAGGCATGGACGGAACCGCTTGAAAGACGGTTAATTACTCGGTGAAAATGAACTAATTTCCTCCCCAGGAATAGAAGATCTGCAAACTGAGAAAAAAAGTTTTACAACATGGCACGACGTGAGCTACTCATTCTTGTTCCTTCTGAAAGCCACAGGAGTTTTTGCCTTCCCCTCCTTGCATTTCTGAAATTAATATTTTGAAAGATAGAAAATAAGAAAGTAGCTTTGAGTCGAATAGTTCTCAAAGAATGGTCTGAAACGTAGGTTCCTGGGCTCCACTCCCAAACCTAGAGAATAAGGATCTCTGAGTGACACCCAGAAGGAAGCGTATTTGCAAATTAGCTAGATGGTTCTTGTGAATATGGAAATAAAAATATTTCTTAAAAATGTTTTAAATATACACAGAACAACTTTTTCTTTTATCCAAAGGAAGACCCAATGCAGTGGGTTTGAACAGTTTAATGTTAAAAAAAAAAAAAAAGGCAAATGAACCTCAGGCGCTCATGTATCAGAAGATGAAGTTGAAAAAAGAATGGAATAATACGAAATAGCATTCAGCTTTTGAAACTGATCACTACCGTAGTTTAAAATTATATTCGGTTGTATTCGATTATTATTTTTGATGAATATCCACTGGTCTTTTCCACATCCTTTACTTGGTCTGAAAAATATTGAAGGTAATATACTCACTGAATTGTTTTTTAGATATTACACAAGGGAGCTCTCATCTTGGAATGGAACTGGCCATAGTTGCTCATTTGCTAGAACTACCCAAAAGTCAGTGCTTTGTTCTTGGGCATTTAGAGTAGCAGACAATCCATTTAAGTTCATCTTCATCCAAACAACTGAACTTACCAAAACCTACTCTCTTTTAAGTGCTCTCTCTCAAAGTGTTTTTTTTTTAAATCTGTCATAAATAACAGAAGAGTGATGCTTTTCATTTTCTTTTTTTATCCGAGTAATTTACCCATTATTAAATGGAATTTTATATATGCTTATAAGTTTTAATTTTACACAATTTATGACTTTGTTAATATGTTTGACTTTATAAACACTCACAAGATGAGTAAGTCCTAAGGATTACAACCCGTAAGTAAACTAAATTTAGGGGCGCCTGGGTGGCTTAGTTGGCTAAGGGACCGACTCTTGATTTTGGCTCAGGTCATGGTCCCAGGGTTGTGAGATTAAGCCCGGTATTGGGCTATGCACTGGGCATGGAGCCTGCTTTAGATTCTCCATTTTTTTTTTTTTAAGATTTAATTTATTTATTTCACAGACAGAGATCACAAGTAGGCAGAGAGGTGGGGCGGGGGGGTGTCCCTGGACCCTGGGATTATGACCTGAGCCGAAGGCAGCGTCAACCGACTGAGTCACCCAGGTGCCCTAGATTCTCCATTATTTCTCCCTCTCTTTCTGTTCCCCCAGACCCCCAAAATAAATAAATAAATAAATAGAATTTATACAATTCTGAAAAATAGGAATTCTGAAATCTCTGCTCTTAACCTCCTTTCTTAAACATTTGTCTCCCCTGCTGTATATGAGAAGGGATACATTTATTTGTGCAATAATTATAGAGTGCCTGCTATGCAAGACACTGTTTTGGGCATTTAGAAAAAATTGGTAGTGGAGAGGGGAACGGAAATTCCTGCCTACCCTGGTGAAACTTAATTTGTTTGGGAAGAGATAGACAAGAGAATAAATAAATTGTTATGGAGAAAAATGGAGTAGAAGAGGAATGCAGATCACATGTAGCCTTTTAGGCCCTTGGTCTTTGGAAGGACTTTGGCTTGTACTATGATTGAGATGGGGGAATTATTGAAGTATTTTAAACAGAGAAGTGACACGATATGATTTATGTTCCATGAGCCAGGCAACCTTGGGCAAATTACTTAGTCTTCCTGTGCCTTATTTTCTTCTCATCTGTAGAACAGATATAATAGTTTCTATCTCTGAGGGTCATTATGAGGAATAAATAAATTGACATTTGTAAAGTGCCTAGAATTGGAACTGGTACATACTCAGCTCTACATAAGTGCACTCTCTCTCTCTCTCTTTCTCTCTCTCTCTATCTATATATAATGAAAGAATCATTATAGCTGCTGGGTTGAAAACAATGTAGAAATGCAAGTATAGAATTAGGGTAACAAAGTATAAGACAACTACAAAAATCCCAAGGAGAGATGGTAATAAGGACCAGGTAATAACAATGAAGATGATGAAAAGTGTGACTAACACTTGAAAAGTGGCTACTACAACCAGGAAACTGAATTTTTTTTTTAAGATTTTATTTATTTATTTGACACAGAGAGCGAGAGAGAGAGACCACAAGTAGGCAGAGAGAGAGAGGGAGAAGCAGGCTCCCTGCTGAGCAGAGAGCCCGATGTGGGGCTCGATCCCAGGACCCTGAGATCATGACCTGAACCGAAGGCAGAGGCTTAACCCACTGAGCCACCCAGGAGCCCCCTGAATTTTTAATTTAATTTAATTTTAAAATCTAGCCACATGTGGCTAGGTCACTATTATATTGGACAGTGCAGTTCTAGAGTATAGAGTTCAGAGGAGTGATTGACAGAAAATGAGGTTAGAAGATAAACTGTGTTCATATTGAATACTACAGATGTCGAGCAGGGTGATAGTTTAAAAGGATGAATTGGGGTAATAGAAGACTAAAGCTGTGCGTGGTGAAAGTGGACTAAGGTAAAGTATAATCAAACAGATAAAAATACAAAAATATTTAAGATATTTAATGCAGTTCTAAAAAATATGTCTATTCTGTATATCTGAAATTACTTATTTGCTTTTCGATCTGAAATGAACTAACTAAATCTGTTCTGAGTATTTTCACAGATTATGCATATGAATCACCCGTGTACCTCTGGTCACAGAGAAATTAACCATCTGTCATAATCACTATGAAAGTTGAAAAAATGGTGCTTTATTTTAGTGTCTTTCCGGATATCACTGACATCTTGGCTTAGATTTGCTAAAATTGGAATCTAGGCATATAATAATAATAATTTATCTATCTGTACTGAACTAAGTAAGTTTGACATGTTTCACTGATGACTGATAAAGACAAAATATATGAAGCCTGGGGGCGCTTGGGTGGCTCAGTTGTTGGGCGTCTGCCTTTGGTTCAGGTCACGGTCTAGGATTGAGCCCCACATCGGGCTCCCTTACTCGACCAGAAGTCTGCTTCTCCGTCTCCCGCTGCCTGCTTCTCCCTCTGCTTGTGCTGTCAGATAAATAAAATATTTAAAATTTTAAAAATATGAAGTCTGAATCATTTTGGTCTAATATGACCAAGACATTAATGATTAACTTGTCAGAGTAATTTAAAGTCTTTATTTGAATTCTAGTTTCTTAGTCTCCGTGCAAATCTCTCTTCAGTTTAAACTGTAAAGGCTGACCTGCACCATCATAAGTTATAGCAGCCTTTTTTTTTTTTTTTAAGATTTTATGTATTTATTTGAGAGGAGAGTAAGAGAGAGAGAACAAGCAGGGGGAGGGGCAGAGGGAAAGGAAGAAGCAGACTCCCCACTAAGCAGGAAGCTCTGGGATTATGACCTCAGCTGAAGGCAGACACTTAACTGACTGAGCCACTCAGGTGCCCCTATCAGTTTCTTAAAGTTGTTTAATCAAAATTAAGTATTACTTAACTAGCAGGGAAGACAAACTATAGCCAAACATTTTCAAAACATGAAAGAAACCACAGGTATAAACAAGATGAGTAAATCTTAGTGACATAATCTGATAACTTGTTTATAATGTTCAAAAGCAAAGCTCAGAGGGGTGGTTCCCCTGAAGTACAAAGGGAAGGAGGGAACACAGGGGGACAAGATGGGAGAATGAGTGCACAGGTAGATGTCTTCCTATCAAAGCTTTAGTCTTGGGCAGAGTGGTGGCTTCACGTGTGTTCATTAAATGATAAGTGAATGAATGTATGAATGTATGAATGAATAAGGACAATCCATGCACCAGTGAGGGATGTGTTCATAACCCAAGGTTTTTTGTTTTTTTTTTTTTTTTTAAGATTTTATTTATTTGACAGAGAGAGATCACAAGTAGGCAGAGAAGCAAGCAGAGAGAGAGAGAGAGGAGGAAGCAGTCTCCCTGGCGAGCAGAGAGTCCGATGCGGAACTCGATTCCATGACCCTGAGATCATGACCTGAGCTGAAGGCAGAGGCTTAACCCACTGAGCCACCCAGGCACCCCCATAACCCAAGGTTGATGAGTAATCCAATTCAGGGTCTCTGAGTTGCAGAAGAGAAAAGAAATAAGATGACAAAGTCTTCAAGAAATTAAAATATATATATAACTTAATATTTTTGAAAATTATATCCCCCAAAGTCAAAGAAATTCTGCTCCCCCCACCCCAATAGTTTTTTCTAATAGTGGTGGTAAAATGAGAAATTATTTGGCGTTATATTTTCTCAAACTGCTTGCTTCCTCAAATTGCTAGTATTAGGAGATAAATGATTATAGGACTGAAAGAATTTTCATGGTAATTAAACTTTGAACAATCACATTACAATGTATTTTTATTATGAAGCTTGGGATGCCAGACTCCTGTTGTTTTATATGATTAA